AATAAAAAGTGTCATCATTTCCACACTAGGTAGAGAGAAGTAACTTTCAAAATACAAATGTACACATGCAAGAAGATAAAAAGAGATGGAAGGTTTAAAAAGTAATATTATCTCTGCTCCCAGCAAAGTTGGAGTAAACAGAAACCAGATTTAATTTATGAACTGAAACAACTAAAACCTGTGCAACAATTAAACACCTGTGCAAAATGTATGAAGCCATGGCTTTCCGACATTGGGCATCAGGCAACACTGAACAGTGATCACTGAGAGAGGAGGAATAATAGTGTGGTGAGCATTTCAGGTGCCCCAGGTTACTCCTCTTGTGCAGGGGCAAACCCCAGACCAAGTCTGGTAATCCCCATGACTTGAGGCGACAGGGCAGAGAGATGGGAGAGGCCAAGGCAGCCATAGTTGGCAAGGCACAATACTGAAGAGTGGAGAGCTGCAAGAGAAAGCTCCAGAGATCTGTAGAAAGTCCCCCTTAAATATTAAGTATTCATTAGTACATGCATGTACATATAAACTACCTGATGCTGGCAAAACAAAAACACAAACAAACAAAAACACCAGAAAGGAACTAAGGAAACAATCTCCAAAATTCACATAGGGCTAGGAATTGTTCATGTTCCCATAAGACACAGTGGAAAATTTTGTAATTCATAGGGCACTAGGTAAAGTATTCAGAAGGGTATTACCTCAGTAGTGGAGCAAAATAACCCTAGACTAAACCTTGCTATGCTTCATCCTCACAAAGCATAAAAACAAACTCAAAAGGATGATATATAATATGTATAAGACCTATACACTAAAAACTTCAAAACATTGCTGCAAAAAAATTAAAGACCTAAGCAAATAGAGACATATGCCATATTCATGGATCAGGTGACCAACATTGTTTAGATGTCATTTTCCCCCAAATTGATCTATAGATTAAATGCAATCCAAATAAAATCTCAATAAGCAATTTTTTGTAAAAATTCAAAGGACAGATAATCAGCCAAAGAATACAAGAACACTAATTCAAAGGGATACATGCACCCCAATGTTTATAGCAGCATTATTTACAATAGCCAAGATATGGAAACAGCCAAAGTGTCCATCAATTGATGAATGGATAAAGAAGATGTGATATCTGTCTATCTATCTATCTAGATATCTACCTAGATATCTACCTAGATATCTATCTATCTAGATATCTTCCTAGATATCTTCCTAGATATCTATCTATCTAGATATCTATCTAGATATCTATAATATATAAATTATATAATTATATACATAAATTATATATAATATACATACTATATATAATTATATACATAAATATAATTTGAATATAAATAAATATAATTATATATAATTTATATATTATGTATAAATTATATATATCTCATATACAGAGATTATATTGATAGACATATTTATATAATTCAGTCATAAAAAAGAATGAAATTTTGCCATTTGCAACAACATGGATGGAGCTAGAGAGTATAATGCTAAGCAAAATAAGTCAGTCAGAGAAAGACAAATACCATATGATTTTAGTCATATGTGGAATTTAAGAAACAAAACAAACAAGCAAAGGGAAAAATAGGAGAAAGAGAGACAAATCAAGAAACAGTCTCTTAATTATAGAGAACAAACTGATGGTTACCAGAGGGGAGAGGGGGAGGATGGCTTAAATAGGTAATGGGAATTAAGGAGTACACTTGTCATGATGAGCACATGGTGATGTATAGAAGTGTTGAATTACCATATTGTACAATTGAAACTAATACAGCACTGTATGTTAGCTAACTGGAATTAAAATAAAGACTTTAAAAAAAGGTGTTAAAGAGGGGAATATTTTATAAATAAATAAATAATAGTATATTAATAATAACTAATATCAATCCACAAGAACCTTATAAAGTTATGTGTATGTTTTGGTAGTAATTTAATAAGATAGGAGATCAATAAAAGTTTTATAATCATAATATATATATTACATATAATCATATCATAATATATATATTTGTGGATTATATATATAATCAACAAAATAACTTTGATAAAGATGAAATGAAGCTGAGGGATTTACCATTATTCCAAAAATTAAAAAGTTACAATAACTAAACACAGTTTGATATCATTATAAAGATAGACAATGAGATCAGCAAAATGAAATAGCAAGTACAGACACAGACCAGTACATATATGGTCAATTAGTTTTCAACAAAGGTGCCAAGGCAGTTCAGTGGGGATATTATAATCTTCTTAACAAATGGTGTTGGAACAACTGGGTAGCCACATAATTAAGAAATGCACCTTACCCTTTACCTCATGACATAAACAAAAATTAACTTGAAATGGATTATAGACCTTAAATTAAGAGCTAAAATTTCTAGAAGAAAATATAGAAGATCTTCATCACCTTGGTTTTTGCAAAGATTTCTTATATATAACACAAAAGACACAAACTATAAAGTCATTACATTTTATCTTATATTGTAATAGACAATCTACTAAAACTCATTCAAGAGAAAGTGATAATCTAGATAGTCATACACCTATTAAAGAAATCAAATTCAAAAATATTTCAACAAAGCAAATTCCAAGCCCAAATGGTTTCACTAGCAAATTCTACTAAACTTTTGAGGAATAAACAATACCAATTCTACACTATCTTTTCCAGAAAAATAGAAGTGAAGATAACACTTTCAAACTAATTTTAGTAGGCCAGCATTACTCTGATACCAAAAAAATTACAAGAAAATAAAACTACAGAACAATATTGTCATAAATTTAGACACAAAGATTTCCAAGCAAACATTAACAAATTGAATTCAGCAATGTTTCAAAAAGATAATGTATCATGACTGAGTGAGGTTTATCGTGGGAATGCAATGCTGGATCAACACTCAAAAATCAATATAATGCATCATATTAACATGCTAAAGAAAGACCACATGATCATATGAGGAAATGCAGAAAAGGCTTTGACAAAATTCACTATTTTTTCATGATTAAAAAAACTTTAAAAAGTCAAAATAAAGGGAAAATTCTTTAACCCAGTAAAGGGAATTTATAAAATACCAACAAATAAGATAATAATGCCAAAAAACTGAATATGTTCCCTTTAAGATAAGGAACAAGGCAAGGATGTCTGCTCTCACATTTCTTTTCAATATGCCTGAAGATTCTGACCATAGCAATAAAGCAAGAGAATAAAAAGGAAAGGCATGCTTTCAGTTTGAAAAGGAAGAAGTAAAACTATCTCTATACACAGGTGACATAATTTTCTATGTAGAAGAATTCCAAAATATATTCAAAAAATTGCTGGAATTAATAAGTAAATTTAACAGGGTCATCAATATAAAAATTCATCTGTGTTTCCATATATTATGAATGTACAAGTGAAAACTGAAATTTTGAAAAATACTACTTAGAACTCCAAAAAAGGTTTAATACTGAGGTGTAAATCTGACAAAAATACATGCACGGTATGTATGTATGTATGTATGCATGCATGGTATGTATGCATGTATGCATGTATGTATGCTGAAAACTTCAAAACACTGATGAAATAAACTGAAGAAGACATTTAAAAAGTGGAAAGATATACAGATCCAATTTCAATCCAAATTGAAAGACAGATTATTGTCAAGATGTCAATTCTTCCCTAATTGACCTGTAGATTTAATGAAGTCCCAATAAAAATCCCAGAAGTATAATTCTTCCCAGAAGATATAAAAAGCTACTTCTAAAGTTTAAATGGAAAAGTAAAAGAATGAGAACAACCAAAGAATTCAAAGCCAAAGGAAGATCAAAGTTGGAGGACCCACAGTATCTGATTTTTTAGACTTATATAAATTTACAGTGATCAAAACAGGATGGTATTAGTGAAAGGACAATGATCAATGGAACAGAACAGAGAATCTAAAAAAAAAATAGACACAAATATTGTCAGTTCGTTTTTGGCAATAGCGTGGAAACAATTCAGTGGAGATAGGGTTTCTTTTCAACAAATGGCATAAAACAACTGGCTATCCATAGGCCAAAAAAGAAAAAAAAAAATTTACCTTAACCTATACTTCACTCTTCATACAAAAGAATAACTCAGAATGGATCATAGACCTAAATGTAAAATGTAAAACTATAAAATTGTAAAAGACAACAAAGGAAGGAAGGGAAGTATAGGGAAGGATGATGATGACAGTATCCTAATTAACATCTGCTACAAATGTGTTTTCATTTTCCTAATTGCTTAGAGAAGGTTCTATTCATCAAACTGAAGAGGGGTTTCTCAAAAACTCTCTGTCCACTGAAAGAAGTGATAGGAACTTCCAAGATAAGGCACTTGGCATTGAGTTTCATGACAAGGATGTCCTACTAGGAACATACTCAGGAAAATCTATTAAATGATACTCTCCAAGTCTGCCAGGAGTCATTGCCAAAATAAAGTTACTTATTGCCTCATATTTTTCCAGAACAAACTTACTATAGCCTTTGCTCCATTCTTTTTAACTTCATACTTCTATAGCTATAACTCTTGTTGATGACATGGTGCAACCTGATCAGGAACATTAAATGCTATTCACAGTTGATCTTTATCATTTTCATATCTTAATTCCCCAGTATAGTTACTCTGAGACGCTCTCCAAAAATTAGCACAATTTAATTTATGAAACATGACATGACTCTGGTTGCCCTATATTTGGACAAATCATCTTCCAAGGATGCTTTACTTCATTAGGTAAATCAATGTTTCCATCTGATAGGCTATAATTTAAAAAATTAATAAATAAAAACTCTCAGAGTCAAAGGTTATTGCTAGTCAACAAATGAAAAAACTACAGTAGAATGAGTTGAACATTTATGTAGTGGAGGAGCTTTCTCCTTATTATGGTTGAAACAGTTTGTAAAGTATTATGAGAGGCAATTCTCGAGTGACTGGGAGATACTTGCAATTGCTCAGGCATCTTGCACTTATTTTGCTTTTTTTTTTTTTTTTTTACTAGGTGGTGACATGCGAAACAAAATCAACTCCACAGTTTCCTGCTATTGATTTTTTGTAGAACAAGAAAAGCAATGTTGGTCAGATAAGGTACTATGTGGTGGAGGTGTAAAGTTGTACTTCACTATCACTTTATAGCTTAACTAGAGACAGGTCAAATATTAAAAAGTAGAAGATAAGATGATGATTTTTAAAAAATCATCTAAGTGAGCCTTCCTTGAAGAAAAAAATTAATTCTATACTTAGCAAGGGAAACTTTTATTGAAAAATTAAATATGAGATCAAATTATCCCTCACACGCTATCTAGCTTTACTGATTTTATTTAGGTTTCCAATATTCCTTTTCTTGTTTGATGAAACCAACTCATAGTTTATTGCCGTGTTTAAGTCTTGCCTCCTCCACTCAGTCCTCTATAAAGAGATCTCTCAAAATCAAATCTGATTTTACCATTTTGATTTTTTTCAAAAAGATTCCTAATGACTCTTTCAAAAAATCAAAACCAAGATTTCTAGGCTGTGACCTAGCCATTTCACAGTCCAGCAGTGGCCCTGTCTTTGGAGAGTCTCCACCACCACCATTGTCCCCAGCTCACACCCTTCACTCTACCAAGGCTGGATTGTCACTTTTTACTGGAAAAGTTAGACCTTTCCCACTCGATGACTTACAGGAAAGGGACTAGAATGAGAAGAGCAAGATGCTTGCTTCAAGCACCAAGTTTAAAGGGGGCACAAAAAAGCTCAGGAATCAAGACAAATATTTTAATGCAATACTTTTAAAATCTAAATCAAAAAATTAATAATAAACAAAAATCAAAATTTTAAATAAAGACAGTATCAGTTATCCTTCCTGAATTTCATTCTGCTTAGGGAAGCCTTACTTACATTCAAAAACTAACTTGAATATTATTTCTCTAAGGAAAATTCTCCTGCCTTCCCAGAGGGTGGCACTTCTCTCTGCCCCTACTCTACTGCCATTTAACTCTTCTCTAATTGGTGTCATATCTATCTCTCCACTTACAACCCTTCCCAGTGAACTGTGAGAACTTTTAAACTATCCCTGTATTCCAGGGATTACTACATGTTAGGAATTCCACAAATATCTCCTGTATGAATGAATAGTTAGGCTATGGTAAATAGAGAGTAAGACAAAAAATTTAGAGTCAGAAAGAGAAATTTCAATTCTACCTCCACAACTGATATATTTATCAATTTTTTAATGCTGGGTATATCTCTGAGCATCAGTTTCCTTACCTTTGGAGTGGGAATGATCTCACTACCACAGGAGTTTTGAAAGCTGGGGGCTTATCAAATGTTTGGAAAGAGTAGTCAAATAAAGAGAATAGATACTTATTTATTCCTATGAAGTGGATAAGGTGAAGAGAGAGAATGGGGACTGTGGTTTACCCAGCTAAAAGAATTACATGTCTGGGGCGCCTGGGTGGCTCAGTTGGTTAAGCAACTGCCTTCGGCTCAGGTCATGATCCTGGAGTCCCGGGATCGAGTCCCACGTCAGGCTCCCTGCTCAGCAGGGAGTCTGCCTCTCTCTCTGACCCTCCCCCTTCTCATGCTCTCTATCTCATTCTCTCTCTCAAATAAATAAATAAAATCTTTAAAAAAAAAACAACAGAAAAAAAAAGAATTACATGTCTGAAAACAGAGGCGGGAAAAGCATCAAGCACATTGTTTGGGGAACTGCAGATGGTTTAGCATGGCTTCATGTGAACAGCAACGGAATATCACAGAACTAGATAGGAAACAAAGTAAGCAGAATCCAGACCCTGGGTGAGGCTCTTGTTTGATATTACATCCAGGAATGGCATAACTGAGTTAACCTTGAGTTAACAAGAATGAGTTTCTGCCAAAATTGTAAATAGGATTCATGGGCTAAGTTGAGTTTGGCTAGGGAGAAAAAATTAAATTAAGCCATTATACATACAAGTTTAGGAACTATTGTCTATTTCAAATATACGATGGAATAGGATTGAGATATTGGGAAAGTAGAATATATAAGATTTGGTAACAGACTACAAGGGGACAGGGAAGTTATTGTGAGTGTGGTATTTAGAAGTATAAGTTGCGAGAAAGTATAATAGATAAATAGAAACACCAGGATTTTACATTTTTCTAATATAAAATGGGCACCAAATTTTCTGGCTTTAGTGGTAATCTCTTTCCTCAAAACACCTGTTCTATAGTTTTGTCCAAGGGTTGCTTAGATTTCAAATGTCTTTCTTGTCTTACTGCACATAGCAAGTAAACATAAAGAAGAAGGAAGGAAGGAAGGAAGGAAGGAAGGAAGGAAGGAAGGAAGGAAGGAAGGAAGGAAGGAAGGGAGGGAGGGAGGAAGGAAGAGAGGAGGGAGGGAGAGAAGGAAGGAAGGAAGGAAGGAAGGAAGGAAGGAAGGAAGGAAGGAAGGAAGGAAGGAAGGAAGGGAGAAAGAGAGAAAGAGAGAAAGAGAAAGAGAGAAAGAAAGAAAGAAAGAAAGAAAGAAAGAAAGAAAGAAAGAAAGAAAGAAAGAAAGAAAGAAAGAAAGAAAAAGAAAGAAATGAAAAAGGGAGGGGATGGGAAGAAGGAAGGAAAAGAAAAAAGAAAGAAAGAAAGGGGGAGGGAGGAAGGAAGGGAGAAAGGGAGGAAGGGAGATGAAGGAAGAAAAAAGCAACTATAACCCAGATAAAATCATTTTCCAAACAAAACAGTAAATGTATGAAAATATATATTAAAAAATAGGATATCACTAATCCAGCAAAGCTTGCATTTGAAAAGAAAGCATATTAGCACCACCAGTTTCTCAATTTATATATTGACTCTACACTAGGAAGTCGTATCGGGATCTTGATGGAACACAGATGGCATAATCCAAAGGGGTAATTGAAGAAGTTTTAGGGAAGGGGCTATCTACCAAGATATGGTGGATTAAGGGAACTGAACAAGTATTGAGGAAACACACCAGGACTAGCAACACTGGGGAGCTATTAGCAGCTCTAGGCCAAGAGAGGGAACAGTTACCAGAACTCAGGGCAAGCTGTAGTTGTAGCTCTAGGAAAGGGCTACCAGATAGGAGCTGTGACTTCAAGAATGTGGCCACTGCCCATCGTTAAGGCTCATCCTAACCCTCACTTCCTAGCCTCTAAGGACCTGCTGAGGGGTCCCATTGACTGAATTCTAATGGAATCCAGAAGGCAATAGAACTCAGTTGATGTTCATAGAGGCCAGTCTGAGACACAACACAGGGGAAAACAGTGATTAGTGGGGGTGGAGGGAAATGGAGGATATCCAGCTTCCTGATGGCAGAAACCCTTTGTCATACATCTCTGTACACACATCCCACCACCACTACCTCATCACCTCTTCTCAGCATCAGATATAATGTTTTGCACATGCTCAGCCTTCAGCAAATGCTTAATGAATAAAAACATAATGGCATATCCGTTCTCAGCAAGGACTGGAATAAACAGTGAAAAAAAGATCAGAAGACGGGAGGAAAGCAAAGCACATCTAAGCTCAGTCTCCTTGGGTTCTCTTTCCATTTTTACAAATCTATAAAGAATCCTAGAAGACAAGATACCAAATGGAAGTGAGAGAAGAGATAATTTTCACATTTTTTAAGCATCCAGGTCTCTTTCCCTAGTCTCCCACAAAGGGGGAAGGCACTATTTTGGGATGACCTAAATGTATTCATTTTGACATTGTCTCCACATTTTTCTAATCCCCCTCTAGCCTTGGAATACCCTCTCTAGTCCTCTCCATTAATCTTCATTGAATATCCTCTTCAGGCCAAGAATTTTTTCCCTTATATTCCTTCTCTGTATTAGTGCACACTATCATTATGTATCTGTTTGCTTTTATTGTACTTTGTATTTTTATGTGTTTATTTGCTTTATAATAGTTTTCTTGTTTTTTAGGTATATACACCCTGAAATAGTACTCTGAAGGAGAAGAGGAAAGAAATGTAACATAAATTCAAAATATACCATATGACAAATGTTTTATAAGTGTTATCTCTTTATTCTTCCCAATTATTCAGTAATAGAGATACTCTTAATCTCTACTCATAGATAAAGAAACTGAGGACAGCCCATTTACTCAACACTATGCTATAAAGCCAAGATTAATGTATCATATTCTTGCCATGAAAAAAAGTCACAAACTCCCACCCTCTAGTCTCACTCCCCAGCATTCATTATTTGTGGTAAATTAATAGCCCCAGTCCTTCATAACCCTGCTCCCACCCCACATCCACAGTCTTTGCCATATAACTTCACAGTTCCTTTCATTAGAGAGGGGGAATATACCCTGATTCTGCACCTTGGATTCAGCCCTTTGACTTTACCAGTGGAATATTAGCAACGTGACATAACCAAAATCTTGGAAAGAGCTTGCACAATTGGGCTTGCCCACTTGCTCCTCTGAGAACATACCCAAGTTGGCCCAGTGGTACCAGAAGTAGAATGAGAGACACAGAGAGCAAATTCAAATCAAAGCAAGCCCAGCCTAGATCAGCTGACTTTCAGACCCATGAGTAAGCCCAAATAATCCCAAAAGAGACATCTGCCAAATCAGGTGAGAGCAGCCAATCCTCAGCTAACTTGCAGATCTTCAGAATACATGATTACTGTTAAAAAAAAAAAAAAAAAAAAAAAGCAACAACAACAAAAACTCTGATTTCAAAATGCCCACTTTTCTACTATACCACACTATTCTTAGGCCGGATATTAACTTCATCCTATGCTCTCAGAAACATTGATCTCTTGAAACTCATTCTCTATTGTTTAAAAGACAACAACAACAACACTAAACTTCTTTTACAAGGGTCTCCACAGTCTCTAAGTTATAACGTTTTATGATTTTATGTCAATTTTTATAGGGGATTCTATCATTCCATCTTTTCCTCTTCTTTTTCTTCTCCCCAAATGATAATGCAATGATGTAGAATAGAATGTCATTTGTTGATTAGTTTATTCATTCATTTGACAAACTTACTATATGTTGAACATAAGACAAAGTCCTGTTGTCATAAACATATAGTTAAGTAAATAAAAATTAACTAGAACAAATATTTAACTAAAATAAAAGTAACTTTCTTAAAAATTTTTTCATAATGAAAGTATAGCTTTTACTCATAGGGAGGCAATTAGGATGTATTCAGGCTCTAATTTTTTGGAAAGAGTATCTTTATTTTAAGAAGGGACACATGCACCCAATGTTCATAGCAGCAATGTCCACAATAGCCAAACTGTGGAACCAAGATGCCTTTCAACAGACGAATGGATAAAGAAGATGTTGTCCATGGGGCTCCTGGGTGGCTCAGTCGTTAAGCGTCTGCCTTTGGCTCAGGTCATGATCCCAGGGTCCTGGGATGGAGCCCCGCATCGGGTTTCCTGCTCCGCGGGAAGCCTGCTTCTCTCTCTCCCACTCCCCCTGCTTGTGTTCCCTCTCTCACTGTGTCTCTCTCTGTCAAACAAACAAATAAAATCTTAAAAAAAAAAAAAAGATGTTGTCCATATATACAATGGAATATTACTCAGCCATCAGAAAGGATGAATACCTACCGTTTGCATCGACCATAGGTGGAACTGAAGGGGATTATGCTAAGTGAAATAAGTCAAGCAGAGAAAGACAATTATCATATGGTTTCACTCATATGTGGAACATAAGGAATAGTGTGGAGAACCACAGGGGAAGGGAGGGAAAACTGAATGGGAAAAAATCAGAGAGAGAGACAAACCATGAAAGACTCTGGACTCCGGGAACCAAACTGAGGGTTATAAAAGGGAATGGGGTAGGGGGTTGGGGTAACCAGGTGATGGGTATTAAGGAGGGCACATGTTGGGATGAGCACTGGGTGTTATACACAACTAATGAATTGTTGAACACTACAACAAAAACTATGATGTACTACATGTTGGCTAACTGAACATAATATAAATAAATAAATATTAATTAAAATTTTAAAAAAGAATGTATTTCAGAAGTAAAGAGGACTCAGTGAAAAATTATCATTTCTCAATTGATCATCAATTTTCCTCTTTGAAAGAGGTATCTATGGCAGCCTATCACCCAGGAGGTCCATCCATCTGCACAGCAACTAACTCTTAGTCCAGTTCTCAAGACATCCTACAACCTTTCCTTGTGTTGTAATGGGGCCTGCGGATGCATGAGTCTCAGGGACACACTTAAGATGAGGTGTTAAATCACATTCCCCCCCAAAAAGTTACATTAGATTCCTAGATCCCAGACCCCAGAATTTGACATTATTTGAAGATAGGATCTTTAAGAGGTAATCAAGTTAAAATGAGATCATAAGGATGGGCTCTACTCCAATATGATAGATATCCTTATAAAAGGGGAAATTTGGACACAGAGGCAGACATACATAGAGGGAAGACAATGTGAAGAGACATGGGGAGACAGTCATCCTCAAGGCAAGGAGACAGGCCTGGAACAAATCCTTCCCTCACAGACTTCACAAGGAACCAACCCTGCTGACCTTGATTTTGGACTTCTAGCCTGCAAAACTGTTGTTTACATTTCTGTTGTTTAAGCCCCTCAGTTTGTGACATTTTGTCACAAATTGGCAGCTCTGGCAAATGAATACAGGTGTCTTTGTGTACACTGACCACAACAAATCCCACTCTAGTCATAAGGAGACCCCCTTAATAAAAAGGAACTGGGGGGCGCCTGGGTGGCTCAGTTGGTTGGGCGACTGCCTTCGGCTCAGGTCATGATCCTGGAGTCCCAGGATCGAGTCCCACATCGGGCTCCCTGCTCAGCAGGGAGTCTGCTTCTCCCTCTGACCCTCCTCCCTTTCGTGCTCTCTCTCATTCTCTCTCTCACAAATAAATAAAAAAAATAAATTAAATAAATAAAAAATAAATAAAAAAGGAACTGGGTACGCAAACAATGAATCATGGAACACTACATCAAAAACTAATGATGTAATGTATGGTGATTAACATAACATAATAAAAAAAAAGGAACTGGTTGTAAATTTGAACACTGTGTTTGCCTTTAAGCAGGATGCTTTATCATTAGAGAAATGCATCTGTTTCTATGACACTGTAGTTTCAGTGGTACTTAAAGCAGTGATAAAAATACAACTGTGATTTTGTGATTGACAATTTAAAAAGGAAGGGGATAAATGTCTATTTAATAAACTATTTTTTGCAGAATAGGAATTTTCATATCACCTTAGAGTGGTAATTCTAAATTCACCATAAGTCAAAACCCTAAAAATCACTTAGAATTTCCTTTTTGTAATTGTGTACTCATTGAATTTGTAATTCTGGAACTGTAGCACATGTGCTGGGAAAGTGAATTATTAATATGAACATAAGAATTTCTGGTTTTAAAAGGATATTTATTTAAATTCAAGCATTGGCAAGTCTTTTGTTCTGAAGAGCTTTACCAAAGCAAATCCATCAGTTCTGAAGTCAGATTTCTATATGTAAATTTCAAATGAACAGACTTGAAATTACTTTTCTCACAATCTCATGAATCCATAAAAGACTATAGCAAAGTTGATAGTTACTTGCTATCTTCACAAACATTCCATCATTTCCACATGGCTTTAATATTTGAATCTGGCAATATGTCGTGACTTAAACATACCATCTTCCCCCCAAACTAGCTCCTCCTCCTGTCTCGCGTATTTCTGCTAATGATAGCACTGTTCTTTTAATTGCCCAGGCAAGAACTTAATTATTCTAGATTCGCTTCTGTATTAGTCAGGGATCACCATGGAAACCAAGCCAACAGGATATATATTGATACATAGAAAGAGACATTATAAGGGATGAATTCACACAATTGCAGAGGCGGAGAAGTCCCACAATCAGCCGTCTGTGGTGATCCAGGACAGCCCATCTTGTAGTTCCAGTCCGAAGTTCTGAGACCCAAGGGAGCAGGTAAGCCCTAGTCCAAGGCTGAAGGCCTGAGGACCGGGAGCGCCAGCGTGCAAGGGCAGGAGAAGATGGATGTTCCAGCTCAAGCAGAGGGCAAATTTGCGCTTCCTCAGCTTTTTTGTTCTATTCAAGCCCTCAGTGGATTGATTGGATGGTGCCCACCCACAATGGTGAGGGAGATCTTCCATACTCCATCTATTGATTCAAATGCAAATCTCTTCCAGAAACAGACACACCCAGAAATAATGTTTTACCAGCTATCTAGGCATCCCAGAGCCCAGTTAAGTTGACACATAAAATTAACCATCACACTTTCCTCTTCTTCCATACCGGTCAAGGCCTACAGATTCTATATTTGTACTTTGCTTTGCATGCCACTGCACTGCATGCCCCGTTTTCCCTGGGGATACGTTCCAAAACCATACTGGATGCCTGACCCTGGGAATAGGACCTAATCCTATATATACTCTGTTTGTTCCTCTACATACATAACTATGATAAAGTTGAATTTATAAATTAGGCACAGTAAGAGATTCACAACAATCACAATAAAATAGAATAATTATAACAATATAGTGTAATAAAAGTTATGTGAATGTGGTCTCTCAAAATACCTCATTGTATTGTACTCACCCTTCTACTGATGATGATGTGAGAGGATAAAATGCCTACGTGATGAGACAAATCGAGGTGAGTGACGTGGGCATTGTGACATCGTGCTGGGCTACTGTTGACCTTCCTATGATTCACCAGAAGGAGACTCATCTGCTTCCAGACCGCTGTTGACTGTGGGTAACTGACACTGCAGATAAGGGGGGGGGCTTACTGTACCTCCCTTCAATTGCATTTGCTCACCCTATCAAAGCACCTATTGAATGTATCTGCACCTATAAAAGTTTTTGTCTTTATGCAAGCCTATCTAGTTTAATGTTCCTTCAAGCACAATGTTATTTAAGTTACTCTTCTGCGCAAAATTCAAGGGTTCTCCATATCTTAACCAAAAAATTCCAACATCTTAAGATTTTTTTATGATTTGTATCCAACTTACTCTCTCTTTACTTCCTCCTACTCCTACTTACCATTTTC